TCAACATCAACCACTTTTTTGTTTCATCTATTGAACTCTGTTTTTCCTCGTAAAATCTAAATAATTACTTTATGTTGGTTTGTTTTTCAAAACCATGACAACCTCTTCAACAATTTTTGTCGCTTAAAATCGGTTAAAAGAAAGTGATACTCTTTGGAATATTTTCTGTAGAATATGCTTTCTTTTCCTATTCGAAAATTCTTAGTTTTTTCGTTTTTCACTTTTTTATCTTTGATAGGTGAAATTGAGTGGTGGTCCCAACGGGTTACGGCAGCAAGGAAAGACATGAACCAAAATCAGAGAAAGATGTAATCAAATGAAACAGTACTCCGATGCCATCGAAATTGAGTGAACATAATGCAAATTTGTTGCTCCAGTTAGAAATTTACAAAATGCTTTTGCTTTCGATCATCCTAGACATAAAAATTACACTTTCAGATAAGTTAATAAATTTACACAGAATTCAAAACCATCTGCTGTGTAGCAAACGATAGTGCATTTAGAATCGATTAAAACCTATTGTAATTATTAGAATCAACCTACGATATTCCTACACTATAACTACTATATCTTAAGGATCATATACTAATACCTATACCTGTATATCTATACTCTTCCACTTATATCCGTGAACCCATATCCTTATAACTAAACCATTACACCTATATTCTGATCACTATATCTTGACATATATGTCTTTACACCTAAATTCTTACACCTATTTCATTATGACTAAATCCTTATACCAATACACTTAAACCTATATCCTTCTACCTATACTCTTACTTTTCTCCACTTACAACGGAGGTGTTCGAATTGTGAGCTAATAAAAAGGAATATATTTCGTTGAGAAGAATGCACTCACTTTCAAATTAACAAGTTAAAAATCTAAGCTGCCCTTGGCGTGCTACGAGAGAGATATTCTAACTTCAAGGTATTTACAATATAGGCGTAGATATTACGGATTTAATGACATGGAATATTTTTTAATATATTGGACTGATCTTTCAGATAACTAGTTTTCAAGGTTTTGTTGGAATTTCGTAGAACATTTATACCACTGTAGTTTAGATGTCTTGTCAAAGTTTGGTAGTCGATGAGTACAAATCCATACGCTTGACTCTTAAAAAATGGCACACACAAGCCATAGACACTGTTCAAGAACAGTGATGTGTTACTTTTTGATCGAGTTCAAGATCATTTCGCATAAAAGTTCCAATCACTCTCAAAGAGAAAGACCATCTCGACAAAAGAATGTGAAAAGATCTTATCGTTTCAATAGCGCTGCTGTGCAAGTGTCTAAGTCTAGAAAAATTGATAAAGGCAACTACCGAGTCGTTTTGTTCGAAATCCTACGTGGTTTGGTGCACAAAAACCTGCTTTTTATTAATTTTGGTGGAGCTAAAATTGATTTAAACTAGAATAAAGTAGCATTCCAAGAATCTAGAGAGTCCTCTATTAATTTATGGTAAAGAGAGCGTCATGTCATATTCAATGTATCGACCTGTGTAAACTTTATTTATGGCGATATACTGATTGGAAAGAAAGGTTAACACATGCTTTATACTAACAAAAATGCTTTTCGATCGGCATGAATATTTCATAAACATGCAGTACTGAGTCTGCAACGCGTTGTTTACTCTACTTGTTTAAAGCATACTAAATTTGAGTCTGTATCCACCAAAATAAACAGAGAAAGAGTTTTAAATTTGAGAAATCAATAAATCTTGTATCGTAATCTTACGACTATTACGGTACAATCATTAAACATGAAAAGCGAATACCTATTGTTTTCGTTTAATGTAACAACGATTTCTTCACTCCTATCCGATTCAAAGACTCTATCATATTCATGGTGTATCACAAATATATCATAGTACTCACTTCATCATATTCAGTTCAAATAAATTGTATGCTTTGATAATTAAGGATTAAATAAGGAGATGCCCATTCATTTCTACTGACATATTATCAAATTTTGATAAGACGTCGAAACTACAGTGGTATTAATGTTCTACGAAATTTCAACAAAAATCTTCGGTTTTGGTTATCTAGAAGCTCGGTCCAATATATTAAGAAAACTCCATGTCATTAATTTTTAGTATCTATACCTATATTTTAAATGCCTTGCAATTCGAATGTCTCTCTTGTGGCATACGAAAGGCAGCTCATATTTTTAGTTTGTTAGTTTGAGAGTGAGAGTATTATTCTGAACGGAATATCGTCGATGAAATTGACTCAAAGTGCAAATACCTCGATTGCTATGCAAACGATTACAATAGGTTCGAAAAGTTAATCGATTTTGGTAGACTATTATCTCTATCAGTTGATTTCTGACGAGGAAAAAATCATCAACTATCCATGACAATTAATTACTTTTAAAAATCGATTCTAGCTTATTAATCAAAAATCATAGACAACCGATAATACTCGCTATCATTCGATTTTATTCGATTCCAACAAAAAAATCGATGATTATCGAAGAACAATGATTCCTTTCGATTCGAATATGCAAAAAAAATCGATTATAATCTTAAATTTAATCCAAAAAAAATCATAACTGCTTGATTTTCATCAATCAGTTACATCTCAAATCGATGAAAATCATGAATATGTTGATTTTTTCGCTTATCTTTCTACATGGGATAATACTTGTGTGATCATAGAAATATGTTGAAGATGTACTTTTTTCTTTTATTTTGATCAAATTCGGGAACTGTTGCTGATTCGTTTGAGGATTGGCTTTTCTAAAAGTTATTGATATTATGATGTTTCCATTTTCACATAAATAAGGATTTTATAATCACAAAAGAGAAAAAGCTATGTATAATCGGACATATTGAAGTTCTACATTGTTCGAAGAAGAAACAAGTCCACTACTGATACAACAAAAAATTAACTCATTTTTTTTCGTCACCTCACAAGTGAATAAATGATCCTATCTAAATAGAATCGATTGAATTATATAAAGATCTGTTTGCCTTCTTTATTCATGTTAAGATACCTTTGAATTTGTCGTGATGATGGAGAAATCTTTCAGTTTCTCTACGCATGCACTGACTTTTTCAGGCTAGACGAATAAATAGGTTACCCATTAAAGCAAAAAATATTCCATTTCATCGTTTCTGACTTTCGATTGTGCGATTAATTTCGCATATCGTGCATTATGTCAATATTTTCAATTGGTCATGTGGCTTGGGTGTGTGAGTGACTTTGAGTAGTGTCGACGTGGAAATGAAGATAGGGGCCACACATACACCCCCATCCCAACATTCACATTCCCACACCCTTTCTTCCACCATCAACTTCACATGGTGTTGGCATTATCTGTTGAAAACCTGGCTAAAACCTAGCTAGTTTAGCTGCCAAGCAATGCAGTAGGAATCATCATACTTGCAGATTCTTGTGAAAACTTGTCGATTTCATATCAAGATCTTAATTACAATTAGCATATTTGTCCTCCCTGGATATAAATTGTGGATTCTATCAGAGAAGGAATTCGCAAATAGCTTTGATTTCCTCAAAATCATTTTTTTCCCTGACAAAGGTGTCCTGGATTTTATAGAATTACGCTTTCTGCTCCTACCGATTAACAGATTTTATTATTGAAAAATCCTGACACAAATTCTCAACTAGCACCTGGAGAAGAATCTTTAAAAGGTATTCTGTAGACTTCTCTCGAACTCCTCACGTTTTCCTATTCACCGCTTGGAAAGGATTCGAATTTACCTGCTACATATGAACAGCGCTTAACCTGGAAGACTTTCATGTGATGTGCTCTAAATCCACGATAAAATGATTGCTCTGAACAGAGAGCATCAGCTTCCGGAGGTTCTTGTTGAACCGTATGACGTATCTTTGGTTCTGTATACAGATAAGCATCAGTAGTATCCGGCTAGGATCCTTTACTCATGCGGCTATAAGTCATTCACAATCCTAGTTTCTGGGTTTTCCCTTCGCTTTGGAAAAGCCTACTGACATCTAAACTGTATCCCTGCAAGCAAATGCCAAGAAGTATCCGCGTAGCACTATGTTTATCTCTTCAAACGTTATCCAGTGATAATATCAGAAAACTTTCTGATTAGAAACTTCAAGGATCTGGATTGTCTGCTTCAGGTTTCCCAAATACTTACTAATTATGATTTGCGTTTGTCCTACAACAATTAGAAAACCTTGTTCTTGATCTTTTGAGCACTGAAGATCTATCATAAGGGTTTTTGACAAGATTCTGTAGGAATTTTCACAAGATATTTCTCTTTCCGATCCTTACTGACATTGTATCATTGTTTTCCCCAAGATAGAGGTCGTGAGATCATAGAAATCCTACGTGGAACTTCTCAATACGATGACTTGTAACAGGTATTGACAACAACGTTATTGGTAGCTTCCTAGAAACCATTGCCCCTTTTTCGAGAAAAGTCATAATTGAAAAACTACGAATAACATCCTCTGCCAAGACTTCTCGTAGAAATCCCTCGAATAAACAATCCTGAAATTTGTTTTGCGAAACCCTGATTTGATATATCTAAAAGCTTAGACAAGATTCTAATCGTCTTCTGGGATCTAGGACAGATCTCTAGAAAAATTTGAATTAAATATTCAAACTTTTAGCACAAAAGAAGTCCTTCATTTATATTTGAAAGCTTAGAAAAAAGGGTTTCCTAATTGATATCAGAGTGAAGCACTCCTTTTCTTCTCTGGTTTAGAATATGTTACCAGAAAAAAAAAAGTATTCTTGATAGTTTCACTAAAATCGTTTGAAGAATATAGATGTCTCATTCGTAACATTTCCCTTGCACGAGTGAGAGAGGGCGAGTGATCTCTGCGACAACGATGATGGTTCCATTTCATTTTTCTCGTTTATTGCAGTGGTTCTCAATATTCCAGCCAATGCCCAATGGGCACAGAATGGGGTGACTGTTGCTGGAGGCCATGGGCAAGGCAATGCTATCAATCAACTTCATTGGCCTTGGGGTCTCTTCATTGACAACGATAAAACAATGATCATTGCTGACTGCGCAAATCATCGTATCATTCAATGGAAGATGGGTGATACGAACGGACAAGTGGTCGCTGGTGGCCGGGGTCCGGGAAATCGATTGGATCGATTGAATGGTCCAACTGACGTGTGTATCGACGAAGAGACGAATAGTCTCATTATTTGTGATCGGGGCAATCGACGAGTCTTACAATGGTCTCGTCGTAGTGGGACCATTCAAGGTGAAATTCTCCTCGACAACCTCAGCTGTTGGGGATTGGCCATGGATGACCAGAGAAATCTCTACATCTCTAATATTGAAAATCATGAAGTACGGCGCTATCAAATAGGAGACAAGAATGGAACTCTTGTGGCCGGTGGCTATGGAGAAGGTGATGGTCTTAATCAACTCAACGAGCCGAAATACCTCTTTGTCGATCAACAACAGACTGTCTATGTGTCAGACAACAAGAATCATCGTGTGATGAAATGGAATAAAGAGGCAAAAGAAGGAATTGTCGTTGCTGGTGGCCAAGGCAAAGGGAATGCTCTGACACAATTGTCGTTTCCTCAAGGACTGTTTGTCGATACATTGGGTACCCTTTATGTGTCAGACTGGGAGAATGATCGAGTTCTGCGTTGGCCTGAAGGGGCGAAACTAGGCACTGTTATTGCTGGTGGAAATGGTGCAGGAAAAGGAGCAAATCAATTGAACTATCCCAGAGGTTTGCGCTTCGACCGGCAAGGCCATCTCTATGTCCTTGATTGTGGAAATCATCGTACTCAACGATTTTCAATCGAAAAAACCTAATAAGAAGATTAATTTTTTCTGTTTTTTTTGTATCAAATAAATCATGATGAAGAAAAACGAATTGGCTCTTCAAAGGATGTTATGAATTTCATTCCTATTCTACTCACGCGTGAGACCAGAACCACTCTCGTAGAACCATGGTGGCGCGAAGACCGTGCACGCAAGGAGCAGACTCATATACACACATGACGTGGGCATGATGGGTCTGATCCACGCTAGGTCGTGTGCAATGCACACTAAGCAAGATAGCTCCTCCCAGACAGACAAGACCTTTAAAAAAATGCGTTTAAACACGTTAAGGTTTCGTAATAATGCCGTTTAAACGAAATATTATCGTTAAAACGGCATTATTACGAAATTTTAAACAAGTTAAAACGCGACACCAAACCTTGAACCCGTTAAAATGCGTAATTTTTTCGAAACTTACGCGTTTTTATGTCGATCTCTCTATTAATTTTACAAGTTAAAATGCGTTCACAGGACTAAATAGATTTTAATACACAGATATTTTATAAACAGTTCAAAATATTTTTTTTCTTTTAGTACTGGTTTCTTATGTTCAATATCAGCTCATCATAGCTTACTTATTTTACAAAATATGATCCTTTTATATAATTAGTTCTTATCATTCTTATTGCCTACCCAATATGAGACTCTATTTTTACCAGTCATTCGATTTTTGGTATAGCTCATCAAGGATTGCTAGTTCTTTTTTCTGTATAATAGGTGAACTATATACAAAAGTCATTCAGCAAACCTTGCACCTAATCAATCACAGTTTCTTGCTTTTTCTTTCAAGATAATTTACAAATAATACAGTTAACAATCATGACTATTCGTTTTTATTGTCTTTATTTTCAGTCTCTGTACATATTTCTCTATCTCCAGTTTCTCCGATAATCAAACTGAGATGTCATGAAAACTTATATTTCTCTCTTTCTTTTATGTTCATTAAGGATTCATGAACACATAATTTTGTAATAAAGTGGAATCAAACGCAAACAAAGAAATACAGATTATTATTTTTTACATGTTTTTACAAAAATATGTGGTTTTCTGATTAGTAGTTAAAAGATTCTTTGGGTAAGTAGCAGTGGATTTTTTAACTATCTTCTAAATTAATTGATAGATGGCACTGATACAGAAATTTGTTACATACAGATTTGTTTTGCAGAGATATTGGTTTCATGAAAAAAGCAATCAGATTATTATTAAAAAAGACAAACTTCTACAAAATTTCCCTAATAGAGTATAGGTCTAAAACGACAGGTACAGAGACGTAGCAATAATGATACGAGTATCAAAGTACACGTATAAGGTATAAATATAAGGATGCAAGTATAAGAGCATACAGCTAAGCGTACAGATATAAGGGTACAAGAAAGCATATAGGCATTATAACATGGAGATAATACGATAGGTATAAGAGTATAGGAATAAGTACATCGGTATAAGAGTAACGAGGCAAGAATGCAGGTATAATGCTTTGGAAATAAGGATACAGTGATAAGACTACGTATATAAGGTTATAGAACTAAGAATATAGATACCAGGATATGGAGACAAAAAGAATTATAGCTATAAAAGCATAGAGATAAGGACATAGATACAAGGGTATGCAGGCATACACATAGGTATAGGACTTTAAGAGTAAGAGCATAGGTATAAGAATATAAGAATAAGGCAGCACCCTCAAGTAGTCGAAGATAGTTCTCAAAGAGGGGTGTGGATGTGGGTGTACGTATGTGTATGGGGTGTGCGTGTAGATCTAGCTGTGGATATGAGTGGTGTGGGCGTGGATGCGGATCTTCTCTTTAAGAACACGCCCACACCCTGATGCAAAAGTTCCTGCCCAAATGTCTCTCCATTGTTCACCAATTACAGCATGTTTCAGGAGAATTAAAAAGTTGCTCTTTAGAAGCTGCATCCAAAAATCATACTGCCATATATTGTCTTGGAGTAACGAACATATCTTTGAATTACATTAAAATGTAGTCTATAAAAGAAAAATACCTTTGTATTGTTTTATTTGTTCCTGTTCATTTGATCGGATTTCGTTGATTCTGTTTTCATTAAATTCTTCGCCTAATTATTTACAAACTGTGCAGAAAATACCATGAAATTATTTAAGATAGTGTTGGAAAATTTTCAGTGTACGTAGCTCTTGCTATTATTTCAGGTATATATTCTTTTTGTACTGTTTCATCTATTCTTCATTCTTACTACATCTTGGAAGTGTGAAGACTGCGATATATTGATTTCGATAGTGTTCTTGATCACTAATAATTACCATTCAATTTTTGTGAAACACGACTTGAAAGGAGTGTTGAAGTGTTGAGGGGTAGAAATTTGCACAGCCGCCCCCCGCCCCCCCCCCCTCATTACAGACCATGATAGACAGGCTCCAGCGGTCATCATAGACTGTGATAGAAGACTTCAAGGAAATATCAGAGATAATGCATAACTAACATAGGATTGGAGCATATATAGAGTATTATCATGTTCAAGCTCTATAATGTAAAGTAAGCCGTAATGAAGAAATGTACCCCAATATGCATAAAAAGCAATAGTCTTTAGAAGATTGTCAACAGCAGCTACATCGTGTTTCACATTTTTAATCCCGCAAGGAATTGCGCTAACAGCTTTTTCTAATGAAATGCGGTACTTAAATCCCTGAAAACTTCCACCACTTCAATAACTTTTTCACATTTAACTTTTGAGATATTTCGTAGCTATTTGTTTTTGAACTGTTTTCATGATGTCATATACATTAGCGTCATAATCGTTGCTACCCAGTTTGTAGAGAGTTATATGGCGAGTATAATGAAAACAAGGATCAACGAAATCCAATGAAGTGAGCAGGAGAAAATCGAAAAGTACTACAAGATCAGTTTCTTTTGGCGAAGTCATTTTGAATTGTTTTTACAGAACACATATTAATGCCATTCAAATATGTGGTTGTTACTCGAACGCAACTCATGATAAACATATTTTGAAAACATAGTTAGAAAAGCTTTGTCAATGTAGATTCTGAATCGTGATTTTTTATTTTTCCGAAGCCTGTTTTGCATATGAAAAATGGATGGACATTTGTTCAGAAACTTTTGTATCACTAGTTGTTTTTTCTGCAAACTGAACATTTTTAATCAATTTTGCACAATATATCGCACTAAAGTTAATCTGACGAAATTATTGTATTTCTGTTTTCATCGAAGCATATACAGATTAATAGAGTAAAATGTAACGATCTCCATGATTAGGAATGCACCAGTTTTAGTTAACTGGGTAACTCGTTGAATCGGATACTGCTTAAATCAGATCACCAGTTAAATTGGTATCTAATTTAAGTGCTAACACTGCCAATTGCTATCAACTTACCAGTTGGAACTAGTACTCAATTATCAGAACCAATTGTAACGGATACCCATTTAACTGCAACTGGCACATCTCCATCTATAATCCCTACATTTTATAATCAAAGTATTATAAAAAAAAAAAAAAGATGCAATTTTTTCCAGATGTTTTGTTTAACATTGTATGTAGTTGTTTGCCTGTGTATACTCTATATTGATTATTCTACCCTTGTGAAAAACGAAATTTGAAATAGATAAAATAACGAAGCATAGACGAACATCCTCTTAGAAAGTTTCTTGACAATAGTATTCGATAGATGATGCAAGACTAAAAGCAATGTGTAAGACGAACTGAATGCCAGCATACTTTTGAGAACTTTCTAGGACATTTTTTTCACCATGTTCAGTAAAACAATGGAAACCGAGTTCAAAGTCACTTTCAATTTTATAAATTATCTTTTTCAGATCATATAAAAGTGGCTTATTTATTCAGGTATCAATTTATTCCATTTCTTTATTCATTTCAGTAAAGTCATACTCATTATACAACAAATACACTTATTGGAAGCTCGGATAGAGCGTATGAAAAATAATTCATTTGTTAAAGAGCTCTGTACCAAGTTTATGAAGTCTGCTTAAATCAAGGTTGAACCAAGTTTCTATCAATATTACAGATTCGAGGAAAGGTCTTGTTAGAAAAACCAAAAATATCCATCCATTACCTTTTGAGACTATTCGGATCCCATTTTCGATAGTGCAATATAAGTTTATTATTGAGAAATTTCTTTTAGTTTTTTATACACATCCATCAGATGTTTTTGAAACTCATGCTAATCGTAGGTAATAGAGAAAAATGAGAATTTCATTTGCCAGCATAGATTTCTATTGCTGATAATATTGTGAAGGAGCTTTTACAATTGATCGTTGAATATGCAGAATTGTTTTATATTTTACTGATTTTTTCCATAGCATTAGAATAATCAATAGAAATAATATATGAGCGAATAATTTAATGTAAAGCTAAAGAAACATTAGAAAAATATATTGTTTTCGCCTTTATCTATTGAAAGATATTGGATACCAAATACATTAGTAATTCGAATCATGCATGTTGCTCTATCAACATTCTTTTCGATTTTCACAGGAGAGTTGGGCGAAGTGTACAACTTTCAAAACAGCATTCGATAAACTGTAAAACGCAAGTAATATTTGAAATATTATTCATCGAGAGATTTTTCATGCGAGTACGAACAATAAACATTTGGTTTCTATTGTTGATATTCAAATGAATACATTGGTTAATCTGTAATCAATTTACAGAAAAAGAAACTCAGAAAGTTTTAACCCATCTTACTAGCCTATAACAGCGAGAATAATCAAGATAACATATATGGCCAAAACTTTAAATGGCATACAAACGACACTGATAGCATAATTCAATCGAAATGTCCAAAATGATGTTCATTAGTACTAATGTATCGTTGAAATCTTTCGTGGGACAGAGATGAACCCATGAAAATGCCGCGATAAACGAATATGATAGTATGAAATTTAGCAAGCCTCATTAAATTGAATGCTGATTGACGTAAGCTATTTTCTTTAATGATGTCCCTATAAAAAAGACTTTGAGCACAAACATGTTTTTCA